TGTATTACAAAAGGGAGACAGAGAAAAGAGAAAGAAAAAGGAGAGAGAGAGGACAGGCATGACAGAAGACAGGGGAAAAAATGATTAAAATCTTGGCTGCAGTGGTTGAAAAAAATGGTAGAGAGAGAAAAAGAAAAATTAGAAAATTTAGAGCAGGCCCTAGACAGTCTGGAAACCTGGGCAACAGGACCCCACTCAACAAGGACCAATGTGTGTACTGTAAAGAAAGAGGGCATTGGGCAAAGGACTGCCCCAAAAAGCGAAACAAGGGATCAAAGGTGCTAGCCCTAGGGGAAGATGATTAGGGAAGACAGGGTTCGGACCCCCTACCCAAGCACAGGGTAACTGAAAGTGGAGGGGAGACCAGTTGAATTTTTAGTGGATACCGGAGCAGAGCATTCCATGCTGATACAGCCACTGGGAAAATTAAAAGACAAAAAAGTCCTGGGTAATAGGTGACACAGGGCAAAGGCAGTATTCATGGACTACGTGAAGAACAGTGAGTGGACCTTGGCGTGGGCTAGGTATCCCACTCGTTCGAGGTTACATCCTACCAGCCAACAGCTTTTTGCCTTGAATGGAGGGACCCCGATATGGGCATAACCGGGCAGCTCACCTGGACCCAACTGCCCCAAGGGTTTAAAAATTCCCCGACCAATTTTGATGAGGCCCTTCATAAAGATCTGGCCAGCTTCAGGATCCAACACCCCCAGGTGACCCTCCTCCAGTATGTGGATGACCTACTTCTAGCAGGAGCCACCCAACAGGACTGTTTGGAAGGAACAAAAGCACTGATGCTGAAACTGTCTGACCTAGGCTATCGAGCCTCTGCTAAAAAGGCCCAGGTTTGCTGAAGAGAGGCCCCAGATCGAGGATGGCCAATGCCCGCATGACTCACTACCAAAGCCTGCTTCTCACTGAGGGATTACGTTTGCTCCACCAGCCACCCTCAACCCTGCCACTCTTCTTTTTGTTTGGTTTTTCAAGACAAGGAGTATATATATATAGCCCTGGCTGTCCTGGAACTTGCTATGTAGACCAGGGTGGTTTGAATTAACAATACCTGTCTCTGCCTTCCAAGTGCTGGGATTAAAGGTGCATGCCACTGACAGACCCATAGATCGCAGACCTTCATGCTCCCACTCAGGAAAGGCGACACTCCAAATCACTCACGAGAAGTGGTTTTGATGTAAAAGCATGAGGTCTTTTATATTCCAAGTGCACTGGGGTCCACAGTCACGCGCCACGCAGGGGCAGAGGACTAAGGACCATGGAGGCGGAAGTAAGATAGCTTTTATAGGATTACAACAAAGCCCGCACATCTTAAACCAATCATCTCATAGCATCCAGAGCCTTCGAGGTGCAGACCAATCAATTTAAACCATCCAAGCCTGCGCTTTATAGACCAATCAGTTTCTTATAGCCCCGGAGGTTTGCATTCACGCGGGTTTCTGGGTGGGACAACAAAGCTCATGTACTCACAAGTCCTGTGAGTATAGCAAAGAATGTGATCTTTCACCTATTTACTGGCTGAGGGCAGAGTCTGGAATTTAAGGTTTAAATTTCTAGCTTCCTGGTGTCTTTGGAGAGTTAAGCTATATTTTTCCATTCTTACACCACCATACCCAAGCCATTTTTATTTTTATTTTTTTAAGAAGCCTCCATGCTGATTTCCATAGTGATTATCCCAATTTATAACCCCACTTCAGGTAAGTTTTCTTTTCTCCACATTCTTGCATCTGTTGCCATTTGTCTTTTTGATGTTACTCTGACCTGTGTGACCTGGACTAAGTAGTTGTAATCAAAGTTCTATTGATACCCACAGATGTTGAACACCATTAAAATATTTATTGACCATATGTATTTTTCAAAACTGTATGACTAGTTCGTTGTCTTGTTGATTGGAAGAGTTTGGGTTTTGGTGTTTAACTTTTGCAGTTCTCACATAATCTAGCTAATCCACATCTCAAAACCAAAGCTTTTTGAGATGTATCATTTGTGGTGGTTTGAATGTAGTTTGTTCCTCCAAAGTTTCATGTGCTAGATGGTCCTCGGTATGGTGTTGCAGTGGTAGATCGTTTTGTTAAACATTTTTATTTCTGTGCATATGGTTGTGCTGGTTTCTGGGTATGCACATATTTACTTGACCAGAGGCATTGGCTCTTCTGGGACTGGAATTACAGGGTGCTGGAACAGAATTCAGATGTTAGCCAAGAGGTGGAAGCCAGATTATTTTATTTTGAGGTATGAATGTTTTGATTCCCATCCTGAAAAGATTTTGGTTTGTTTGTAGACAGAATTTCTGTGTAGCAGCCTTGGCTGTCCTGGAATTCCATCTAGAGCTCACGCTGCCTTTGAGCTCACAGGAATCTGCCTGCCTCTGCCTCCCAAGTGCTGGAGTTAAAGGTGTGTGCTATCATGCCTAGTTTAAGAGGTTTGTTTTTGAGACAGGGTCTCACTATGCAACCTACACTAGTCTGGTACTCAGGGTCATCCTGCTTCAGCCTCCTGAGTACTGGATACAATACATGCTATCATATACAAGAGAATTTAGGCCTTTAGTGTAATGCTCTTCAGTGGTTTTGTTTTGTTCAATAAAAACAGATCATTGGAGGCTGCCTTTTTTCTCATGACACCTATGAATTAGTTCCCAGATAGACCCACTCTGGCTTCCTGTCTGGCCATGTGATCTCTCCCTTACACACACTCCCACCATTGTGATATCATGTATCATGCCTTTAACAGCATCAAGCAGGTGGCTACACTATGTCCTTAACTGTTAGTAACCTAACAGTTACTCTCTTCCCATACCTGCAGATGTACAGTCTTAACATGTGTTATCTTTTTTAATTTTAGATTTATTTTGGGGTATGAAGGTTTTGAATTTCCAGTGCTGTAGGGTATCCACCAGGGAAGATCTCTCAGACATGGGTTTAAGCCAATAGAAAGTGTTTATTAGCTCACCATTGACTACACCAGGTGTTCAGAATCCCAAGTATCCCCAAGCCTTGCTCAGGGTGAGTTTTTAAGCATAAAAGTCATATTCTGGGTGATGTACTTCAGTTAGGCAGGAACTGAACCCAGGTCCCCAGAAAGAACAGGTACTTTCAAACACTGAGCCATCTCTCAGCCTGCTTAAGGCTCTTCTATGAAGTGGTACAGTATTCACCTAGTATTTTACTTACAGGTTTATCTGTTGAAGAGAAGGATCTCACTTGATAGTTTAACATGGCCTTAAACTTGCAATCCTGTCTTAGTTTCCAGATTTTCAACAGCTGGCCTTCAGTGTTTACTAAAACTTCTAAGACTACCAATAACCCAGAATAATGCAGGCAGGATTCACACTGAATTCTAACTCCCACAAATTTGCCTTTTAGCTAGGCTTTTGTTCATCAATACTTAGTAGAATTACAGGTGTGGGCTATTAGAATTATAGGTGTGGGCTATTGCTTTCAATTTACTCATGGTTTTTGTTTGGTAGTACTGGGGCTTAAACCTAGGGCCTCACAGGTGCTTTACTTCTGAGCTACATCTCCAGCCCTTTTTTTTTTGGTTACTTTTGTGTTTTTAGATAGGGTTTTACTGTATTGGTCTGGCTTACCTGGAACTATGTAGCTCAGGCTAGCCTGGAACGTACAGAGACCTGCCTACCTCTTAGTTTTTAAGTGCTGGGATTAAAGGTGTGTACTGTCATGCCTAGCTGAGAGTTTTTGTTTCTCAGGCTGTCCTGGGTTGGTCCTGTAACTTTAGCTGGAAGTTAACATGACAAGACTGGTTTCAGACACTTAAATGATCTCTGGAGGAGTATTTGTAGTAGCGAATACATTGTTAATGACATAGTTGAAATGTGTGGGAATGACAAGTAAAATACTGCACTTGTTCAACAGTTTTTCAGAATATACTTTGCAGTCAGCTGAATCCAGAACCCGTGTATTAAGTGCAATCACTTTTTTCTTTCTCTCTGGTGTGCCAGCTAGTCTTCTTATGCAGTTCTTGTCAAAGGGCTGATGGATGAAAAATAGTCTGAAAATAAGAGACTTGATTTTTCCCTGGAACCCTTTTTTCTCCTCTCCTAAAAGTTAGGAGCTATTGCTCTAGAAATGCTTATTTTTATGAAAATAATTTCTAGTTGGTTAATGATGGGTCTAATGACCAAAGGGTCTTCTGTCATTCTCTTTAAACTTTAATCAGAAGAATTCGACCTTCCGGACTCCCTTTGTACAACTGAACCAGTCACTCCATTGCTTGGGAGTGCTGTAGTCAGCTACATGAACAGAAACAGGAGTCCTAATCCAGGACACAGGTGTTTGTCTCGCAGCTGAAGAATTCCTCCGGGTTTCATCTCCCGTGGGCACCAACTGGTCCTGCAGCTTTGGGAAAATCGATTTCACCTCCACATCCTGCTACGGAGGAAATCGGAGGATTTCTATCATGTAACAACAATGGCGAGGGGGAGGGGAGAGGATGGGACAGGCGACCTTTGAGAGTCTGTCCCTTGGGGCTCTTCAGCCCCAAGCCACAACTTTCAGCTTTCAAGCCCCCAGGCTGAGACCCCCGCAGGACCACCCGCGAGAAGCACACGGCACACGTCTCATGTTCCCCAGATCCACTGCTTGCCTCCTCAGCAGCCCAGCCCACCATCAGAGAGAGCTCCACCAGAGTCACCCGCTGGCCAGACAACTCGTCCCGCCCGCGCTTCAGCAGCGATTGGCGCGCGAACCGCCCCAAACCCGGGAGGCGGCTGACACGTGACCAACGTGCTTGTCCCGCGCTGCCAGTGCCGCTGGCTCAACCTCCACAGCCCGCGGTCCGTACGCCCATGCGCAAAGCTCACGCTCCTCCCAGCGACCGTTTCCAAGGGGGCGTGTCCGTGAGCCATGTGACACCGGCAGCCTTTAGGACGCGGTGCTGGCGGCTGGGGCTCCTATGCGCTTGCGCAGTAATTGGACGCGGGCGTTTTTTTTCTCCTTTTTTTTTTTTCTTCCTTCCTTGAATTGGTTCTGAGGGGGTATTTCGAGTTACAAGATGGCGGCTGGGAGCGCTCTCTTCAGCGTTTAGTAGCGGCTTCAGGCTGAGTGAGTGTGTCTTCCCCTCGCTGTCGGACTCAAAGACGCACAGCTCCCAAGACCTGCTAATCACGAAGTCCTTGGAGGCGCTCAGCGCGCCGGAAGCTCCCAGCGGCTGCGACCGCCGCCTCGGACCTGTTCGCGGCGCCCGGGACCTAGAGCGATTTGCGGCGGCCGCCCCGGAGGTGAGGGCGCGGCGGGCCGGGCGGTCGGGAGGGCGGGGCGCCGGCGGCCTTTAGCGACGCGGCCGGCTGTTTGTGAAGCCCGGCCGGGCCTGCCCTACGAACCGCGGCTGGCCCGAGGAGGGCTCGGCGGGGCTCGGGCCTCGGCCCCGGCGGAGATAGGCGGTGGTGGCGGCGGGGCTGCTCTGGCCTTCATTCCTCCTACATCGTCCCCCTGGCTGGGCCCGGTTGCACTCACAGCGTTCCCAGGCTGTTGGTCCCCCGGGTTCGTCAAGAGCCAGTTTTGAGGTTTGGACTTTCCGTGCCGTTTCAGTGACCTCGATCTGCTCCTCGCTATCGAGGATAGCCGAAGCGGTTTTTCATGTGAAGTTCATCTCTTAAGAGCAGGACTGTACCCGGTGCCCACACTTACTGCAGGAAGGGGTAATTCACGAATATTGCGCTTCTCCTAACTACAGCACTTCATATCTAGAAAGCATTTTGTAACTTGCTGCCATTTTACCCGCAAACGCAGACATTTGGCAAACTCTTCCGAGCTGCTGGTGTAACTTGATTTGTTAGGTTGATTTGTTACGGCGGTTAGAGTCCCCCGGTAGCCTGTAGATAGAGGGCTCGCCTAGCAAGCACAGAAACCCCGAATTCTATCCCCAGCACTACACAAGGGGGAAAAAAAGCCTTAATAATAACAATAATAATAGCTGGCAAATAAGTCTTTAGCGCTACACCTTGAACCGAGTACTTCACAGAGATGTCTTTCTGAAAAAGGAAATGTGGAATAAGTAGGTATTTGGTACCTTTGTTTTTAAAGGACTGGTTTTGCTGTCTATCTTATCATTCTGCCTCAGCCTCTCTTTTGCCATCACCTCTGGTTGGTGAAATGTGTTTTAAAACTTGAGCTTATCCTTCGAGTTACTTTGTTTCCCACACTACACCTTTTGAGTTTGGGTGTAAAAATTATATTTTGTTTTTAACAGAATTTGTTTATTTAAAATATGCAAAAACACTTCCTCTGTTCTAGGGGACCATTCTAAGCTATGCCTTTTATTGTAACTTAGCTTTTATAGCACGCTTTCCATCCCACAGGTAAGGAAGCATTCACCAAGCTCACATGCCCGTCATCTCTCAGCTTGTCCTGGATGCTAGCTAGTACTAGCATCTTGTAGTATTTTCTCAAATATGTAATGCCTCAGATCATTGATTCAGCAACAGTTATCTAATGAGTCAAGCAGGTTTGGGACATTTGGAGTCATCAATAAACCAAATAAATTCTTCCCTTGTGGGGGATAAAATGATATCAGCTTCATTAATTTGTTTTATTATGGCAGTTACTCTTTAGTTTCAAGTATGATTTATATGTTAAAGTTTTACTTAGTATTCTATTTGTTTTTCTTACCATCCCTTTTGTCCACATAAGTGACTATAACCGGTCCACTGCCTGCCTCTTCTGCCCTCTGGTGTCGATGTTAGGCAATGATTAGAAAAATTTCCCGATGAATCCAGAGACCTTATTCTTGAAGAGTTCTAGGAAGAATGCTATTTCTAATATGGTCAACTTTGCAATGTTTGTAGGAAGTAGTTAAAAGAGAGAGTTCCCAGTTACTGGTGTTAGAGTTCATACTGTATATTTTAGAATTTTCGATTGTAAAATCATTCTGTAACCAGAAAAAGAAAAGCACCTGGAAGAGAAATGTAAGTTTGTGATATAGTAAAAGTTGGAGCCCCTCCTTCACATCGGCTTGTGGAGGGCTTCTGGTAGGTACTGGGAATCAAACACTTGTCTTCTGCAGTAGCAGTGCACTCCCTATCTGCCAAGCCATCTCTAGGCATGGGGATACTTTTGAAGTATCCATAGTAATAAGATTTGAATTTGTAAGAATGTCTTAGCTTTTTGTAATATCTATTTCAGGGGCATTGTATGTTAATTGAGACATTTCTGTCAATTGTAGCCATAAGGAAAGGACTCATGTTGCAAAAGTATTTCCAGTACATTATTAAAATCCTTATCCAAGAATAAACTTATAAGTTATCTTTAAATTTTAAATATTGGGGCTGGAGAGATGGCTCAGCGGTTTAGAGCAGCAGCTGCTCTTCCAAAGGATCAGGGTTCAATTCCTAGCACCCACATGGCCGCTCACAACTGTCTGGAACTTCAGTTCCAAGGGACCTGACACCTATGGCAAAACACCAGAGCACATAAAATAAAGTTAAATACACATTTTAAACAATTAAAATGTTTTGTTTATGGCAAAAATATTTCTGTTGACTTAAGGACTTTACTGTATGTGCAATATGCTATGTAAATATTGCAGATTTTGAAAGATCAATAGATGTTTCATTTAATCTTTCTGAATGGAGTTGGCTTCCTGTTTAGAAAAGGTGCCAATGTTTCTCAGGTATCTGTGCCTGCCTCTTCAAATAGTAATTGAATATGTGCCACTGGAGTCCCCTAGCCTATTGTAAAGCTCTCACTGAAGCAGTTTCACTGGCATCAGGAGTATGCTTACCAGATCCTATGCTGGATTTTTAAAGTTACTTGTAATAAAAATTTTAAATTAAAAAAGTAATATTAACTTTGCTGAACTCTATATTTTTATTAATTTCCTACTGTATTTCCTTCCCTTTGAGCAAAGCCCTGTAAGTAAATCTCATTTGTTTAAACCTGTTAACTGCTTTTTCTTTAATTTCTCTATATTGTGATTTTATTACAAAATAAATGAAGACTGCAACAAAAAAAAGTTATTTGTAAGAACTATCTTGATGCAGAAAAGCAAACATTTTGTTTCTGTTTTCTGTAATCTAGGTTCACAAAAATGGCCAAAAGAATTGCTGAGAAGGAATTAACAGATAGGAATTGGGATCAAGAAGACGAAGCTGAAGAGGTACAGAGCAGTTCCCTTCGTGGTTTCTTGCTGTCTGCATTAAAGTTCATGCTGCGTTCTTCATGAAGAATACAGTAGACTTTAAACATTTAAAAATACACAGAGCAGGAGAGCAGATGTGAGGCTGTATACATTTACTGTAGAAGCTTGTTTTTCATATGTGAATAGCTTTTCTACTAGTGAGTGCTCCTGATGAGTGTGTAGACACACATTCCTGCTTGCCTCATACATTTGCAGCATCCTTTACTATGGTTTGAGTGTTTTAGTCTTTACTAGAAGGCAATTTGAGGGGGCTAGGCATGGAATTAGCGGGCTACGGTTCTCTCCACAGTTGCCCTCACTCCTGTGCTTCCTGTACCTTGCTGTTTGCTGTTCTGATGCTAGACCTGTGCCTCAGCAATACTGGTTGGAATAGAATTTACATCACTGTTGTAGTTTCTTTGCCAGAAAAATTGTTGTCTCCTGTGAGGAAATATTTGCATTTCTAGGTCTCTTGAGCATGTAGGCCAGTTCACTAAGAAAATCTGTAGCAGAGCTAACTCCAGGTCTATAGCACACAGCTAGGTGGTAAGGAAAGAAGGAATCAGGGAATAAAAAGTGTTTTGCAGTTTTATTGGTAGGTTGCTGTCTTCCTTTTTGGTACTGATATGTATACTGATATGTTTAGGGAAGCCAAACCATTGGTATGTTAATGTTTTTATAGGGCATTTAACTGACTTGGTCTTTAATTGAGCCTTGGTCGTGGATTTTTTTCCCCCCTGCCTTGATCTTTAGCATAGTCCTGGGGTAGGAACAAGATCTAGACTGCCATATAATTGTTTGCTCTGACACTAATGTGTCTAGGAGTGAAAGAACTCGGACAGGTTCTACTAAAATGAGCATGGAAATCATTTACATTAATTGGACAAGTATAGCCAAATGGTCCTTGTTTTAGGTTATGAGGGTCCTTGTTCTGGGTTAATATGATCTGAAATGGGAGTAGTTTTGTTTTTGAGATGGTATCAATTTGTAATTCAGGCTGGCTTTAAACTGTCAGTCTTGCTGCCTTAGCCTTCTGTGTATAGGGGCTATCAGTTGGACCTGGCATACCTGTCTGGATAAGAATATTTAGTTCTAGCCTTACAGGTAAGAGAATAGATGAAATATAATCAAAGCCTTTCAGCACATTTATCTCACTGTTGAAGAACACTGGATGACTGGGGTTATTTGTAACAAGGTTATCTGGCCTTTTAGACAGTGGACAAGGTGGACAGTACCAGGACTGTTGTCCAGAACAGTGAGTGAAGGCTACAGCTTAGGGGTAGAGCTTAAGCGTCACCTGTGCAGGATCCTATTCTACAAAAGAAAAATGTGCATGCTATCTATAACAATTTTGTTTTGTTTGGAAATGTTTTTCCAGATAGGGTTTCTCTGTATAACAGTTCTGGCTGTACTGGAACTCATTCTGTAGACCAGGCTAGCCTCGAACTCACAGAGATGTGCCTACCTCTGCCTCCTGAGTGCTGGGATTAAAGGGGTGCACCACTACCGCCTGGTTTTCAATTTAACGTTTTTGAAAATTGTGGGAGTAAGGTTTGGGCTCCTTGTTCAGACTGGGCTTTACTATCATAAGCTTTTGGAAGTTAGCTCTTCTGTCTTGATGACAGTACATTTTACTGTAACTATTAGTGATTTTGTCTTAGACCATATGTCTAAGATATTTGAGGAAGCCAGCCATGACGGTTAGTGCACCAAAGATTCAGTGTTGTTCATCTTTGCAGAAATCACATGTTCCTATTTCTGGGTTTGAACTGAAGCCTGGAATTGTAGATTCTGGAAAGATTTATGATGCATGAATAGAATTGGAATCTTCAGAAATCTGTTGATAATAGATGAGAGCTATAATGTGTTAACAGTCAACTCTTTGAAGCTCATCAAATATCAGATAAATAATTCATGTTTGTTCTAGCATGTATACTTAGCTTTAATCTTTTGGTCTTACCTTTCTGCTGCTCTCTGATTTGTCCATTCTTGCAGGTGGGAACATTCTCAGTGGCCAGTGAGGAAGTCTTAAAGAATAGAGCCATCAAGAAGGCAAAGCGTAGGAACGTTGGATTTGAAGTGAGTGCTGCTTCATACTGATGCATTCATACAGCAAATGCTCTCCCAGTGTAGTGTGTGAGTGAGTGTGTGTGTGTGTGTGTGTGTGTGTGTGTGTGTTTTGCTCCCTGCTGTGGCACACATAGAGGCCAGGACAATTGCATGAGTCAGTTCTCTTCAGCATCTGGTCCCTGGGAATCAAGTTCAGGTCATCAGGCTGCTGAACCATTTCACTGGCCCACAAATTTTTATGTTTTTGGTTGTGAGCCTAGCCTTTAACAGCTGAGCCATCTCTCCAGCCCTGGCCCACAAATTTTTTAAGAAAGTATTCAATTTATACGGGTGGGGGTGTGTGTGCACCATAGGTGTGTGGGTGCCCAGAGAGATCAGAAGGTTTTAGGTCCTCTGGTGTTATAGGTGGTTGTAAGCTCTGGACATGGGTACTAGGAACTGAATCATGTCATCTGGAAGAGCAGAAAGTGCTCTTAACTGTTAAGCCATCTCTCCAGCCCCCACACATGCCTTTTAAAGTGCTTCTTGGTGTAGATCTTGGAAGCTAGAAAACATAATAATGAGGCCTGTCCTGTTCCTAGTTGAGATGTAAGATAGATACTGACAAAGTTAAGTGACAGCATGAAGAGGAAAATTAGTATCCATACAAAAATAATGTAAGGTGGAATCTGGGAGTTGAAGAAAGGAGAGTCCTCTCACCACAATAGAAGCATTTCATGTACTGATATGTTTCATAATATGGTAGTATGTGTGTTCTTTTTTTTTTTTTTTTTTCTGTGCTTAGAAAGGTAACTTGAGTTGTAACTCTGGAATTAAAGTCACGTGTCTAGTGTTCAGTGATTACTACAGTGCTCTTCCCCCCCTTGTAAATCCTCAAATAGGTTCTAGACCCAAGAGCATGACTTTAGTGACTTAGAATCTATGGTCACAAGGAAGAAGCTGTTTTGAGGTCAACCTTTGTGGTCACTTGAGAATAAATTACATGTGTGTGCATGTAGAAGCCAAAAGTTAACATCAGGTTAACCTTTCATCGTTATCGTCATCATTATTCCTTGGCAGCAGGTTGTAGTGGTAGTGTGTGCGCGCGTGTGTGTATGTGTGTGTGTGTGTGTGTGTGTGTGTGTGTGTGTGTGTGTGTGTGTAGTACACATATAGACACCAGAAGTAGCCATTGGGTGTTTTACCTCATGACTCTCCCCATCTCATATTGAGGCAGGGTCTCACTTGAACCCAGACATTGCTGATTTGCCTAGTCTGGCCAGCTAAGCTAGTTTGTTATGTGAATTCCCTGAGTCTTGCCTCCCACTCACTGGGATTATGGGCAGGCTGCCTAGTTAGCATTTAATGGGTGCTGGGAACTGAACTCCAGTCCCCAGTGTTTGGTGCATGCTCTACCTGCTAAGTCATCTCCCAACCTCTGTCTTACTGGGTTGAGATAGTAACTTAGTGAACCTATAGCTCATCATTAGCTAGCCTAGCTGGCCAATGAACTCAGAATATAGGGAAGCCAAGCCAGGCTGAGACATGAGGGGGTCTAGCTGTCCAGTGAATGAAGGCCAGAGACAAAGTAGTGTATCTGCTACTTGGCCCAGGGTAGCACCGCCCAACACAAAATTGTAAACGTATTTAAAACATGAGATTTCATGTGTGATGGGGTAGGCTAACTTAATTATGAGGTGTTGGGTGAAGTTTGTGGATGACAGTATTGATGTTGGTAATGTCAAAAGGTCTGGCAGATCTAGGTATACATCTTTTTCTAAAATATGTATGAAAGGAAGTAGAGAAGCAGGACCCTTGAGCTGGGAAAGGAATGGTATATAGAAGCGTTGAAATTCACATTGAATCTTAGCACTGAGGTTTGGTCAGAACTTAATACTAGAATAACTAAATGTCATGTCATCCACATAAATGAAGAAATTTGCTTTTCCAAAATATGGATGCAAACAGGTCTAAGCAATAGAAATAATGTAGGTGTGTCAAGCCTGGCATAGTAGTGCACACCTTTTTGTTCCAGCACTGGGAGGCAGAGGCAGGTGGGTCTGAGCTCAAGGCTATCCTGGTCTGCATAGTGAGGCTATGTCTTGAGGGAAAAAAATGGATATGTTAAATTCACTCTAAAATTTAGCTAGAAACAATGTATGTTGGCAGTTTTTAAAGTATCAATAATGTTATATGACTTCTAAATCAAGCGCAGAATCAAAAGGCCTGTAGTTTCACAGCTTGTCTGTAGGTCATATGGTATATGTTAGGTTGTTTGTTTTTGAGACAGGGTTTCCCTGCATAGTCCTGGCTGTCATAGAGCTTTCTCTGTAGACCAGGCTGGCTTTGAACTCAGATTATTATTATGTTAGAAAAATAATGTTAGATTATTTTTATGAGAGAGAGAGAGAGTGTGTGTGTGTCTGTCTGTCTGTGTCTAGAGTTTTGTAAGTAATGTAAGTTTCACAGTATCTCTGCTGACTGAATAGGCTGGCCAATGGAAAAGCTTGCTAAAGATAGAAATCAGGAAACAGCAAACAAAAGCAAGGCATTGCACTGGATTGCCTGATAGAAAGGCTAGAATCTGCAGTTATGGTCTCCTCAGATTTCTGTAGGCTGAGAACAGCTTGAAAACCCCAAAGTTCTTGAGAAATTAGACAGTGAAATATTTTTAATTAATCTAATTTTGTGTTTGCAAAGCTTCTTTAGGCAGATGTTCTTTGAAAAGGTACATTGTATGAGGTTTAATTGTATTGGTAATATTTTCAGTTATTCTGGAGCTCGGTGGCAGGTACGTTAATTTGTAATTTTTGAATATTTACAGTGCCTTTAAATACAGATCTAGCCATTATGACCTTCTCTCCTGGCTTTTTAAGGAAGGCAAGGACATGGCTGTCCTTGGAGTCACCATCTTTTCCTCTGTCCTGTCTGGGCAGTGCCATTAGGTGCAATGCCACCACATGTGAACCCTGTGCTGTTTCTAAGATGCTGTTGTCACTTACTTGGTGATGGAAGTCTGCCTACCTAAAACATGCTTTCTTTATATTTCAGTCTGATAGTGGAGGCGCTTTTAAAGGTTTTAAAGGTTTGGTTGTGCCTTCTGGAGGAGGAGGATTTTCTGGATTTGGTGGTGGCTCTGGAGGGAAGCCATTGGAAGGACTGACAAATGGAAACAACACAACCAGTACCACACCCTTCTCCAGTGCAAAGGTGACGGCAGTAGAGCCCAAGGCCACCTTTGGTGAGTAGCCCTCCCTCTACAGCCCCCTCTGAAATCGATGCGGAAAGAGAACTCTTCCCAGGTTGTGTTTTATTTTTCCTTTTTGACAGGGTATGTAGCCCAGGCTGACCTTGAATTCCATCATCCTCTTCCAACCTGAGTACTGGGATACTGTGTAGTGTGCTACCAGACCCAGCTGGTGAGGTGTTTTGAGTACTGCATCCTTGGACATGTCAGTGAAAGGATGGGACTTGGATGCATGGAGCAAGTGGGCCAGCAGAACATACCTTTGCACCAGCACACAGCAATTCTGTTCTCAGTTCTGTTATTTGCTATGTGACTTCAAGGTTAAGTTCCTAACTTCTGAGTCCCAGAATTGACTGGCAAGAAGGAAGCACTTTTGTAGACTCAGAGTTTGCCTTCATGCATGGTTCATGCACATGAAGGCCCTTCTGTGCACCTCCCACCATGATGACCATTGGAAACTGGGGTGATACTGTCATTGGCCACAGTGTCCTAATCTAGGTTTGAACAGGAAATACTGTTCAACAACTTCTGGGATTCACATAAAGAACAGGATCATGGGCTGACCCCTAAAAATGATCCTGACTGGCTCTGAAAGTGTATGCTGTGTAGTGTTTGTTGATTTGAGATGGGTCTTAATGTAGCTCAGCTGTGGGAACTCAGGCTAGCCTTTACCTTTATGTGAGGCTGACTTTGTAGTCTGGATCCATCTGATTCTAGCGTCACATGGCAGACTGCAGCCATGCACCACTCACTTGCCTCTTTAGTCATTACTACCATAATGGACTAAATGTCATTTACCAGTTCCTCAGCATTGGCTTATGAACACAAGCTTGGTGAACAGTAACAGGGAAGCCAAGCATGAGGGTAGTGGAACAAAAACCTAGTTGTAGCTGGGCCTAGTGGCACACACACCTACTATCCCAGCTCAAGAAATTGAAGCAGAATGATTGGTTCCAGCTTGCCTAGGACTATGTAGCAAGACTGTTAAAACAGTAAAAACAAGCTAATCCTTAGATGGTTTAATCAAACCACTTCTAAAGTGTTTGAACTTTAACTTCCTATAGGTTCTTTTGCTGTGAATGGACCTGCTACATTGGTGGATAAGAAGATTTCAAGTCCCAACTGTAATAGCAGCAATCAGCTGTCCTCCTCTGGCCCTGCTTCCAGTACAGCCTGCGCTGGGAGTGCCTATCACAAGCAGTTGGCTGGCTTGAACTGCTCTGTCCGAGATTGGATAGTGAAGCATGTGAATACAAACCCACTTTGTGACCTGACGCCCATTTTTAAAGACTATGAGAGATACTTGGCGACGATTGAGAAGCAGCTTGAGAACGGAGGCAGCAGCAGTTCTGAGAGCCAGACTGACAGGGCATCGATTGGAATGCAGCCTCCCTCCCTTTTTAGTTCAACAAAACTACAGCAAGAATCACCATTTTCGTTTCGTGGCAGCAAAGCAGAGGACACGTCTGAAAAGGTGGAGTTTACAGCAGAAAAGAAATCCGACACAGCACAAGGAACAACAAGTGCCTCATTTAATTTTGGCAAGAAAATTGAGAGCCCAGTTTTGAGCTCATTAAGCTCTGGCTCCCTGACTGGGTTTTCATTCTCCCCTGGAAACTCTAGTTTATTTGGTAAAGATGCTGCCCAAAGTAAAGCAGCCTCTTCACTGTTTTCTGCAAAAGCCCCAGAGAGTCAAGCAGGAGGCAGCAGTAGTGAATGCAGAGGTAAATACAAAGCTGCTGTTTCCACATCTGTACAGGTCTAATGAGAGCGTCCCAGGGGCTCCACTTTCTGTGTATGTCACAGTTGCTTAGTCCTTATCCTTAAAATAGAGCAAGGCCTGTTTTATAGGGTGTTAAAAGCTCACATGTGTTGAATGGGGTGGAGATGTGGTTCTGTGGGAGGAATGACATGCAGCTTCTGTCCGCATGAGGTGGGTCTCCAGTCACGCAGTGAAGGCTGCAGATGGCTGCAGCAGAGGCTGGAAGTTCTAAAATGCTAACGAAAAAGGCACTGGGTACATGGTGTTGAGCATAGAAGAAGCAAATTAAAAATCATTTTATAATTGTATTGAAAAGACTCAATATGAGTGTCTATTGAATTTGTTGCATTTAGGACTTTGGCTGTAAATGAGATGCTCCAGCACTAATGTTAGGACCAGACATGCTACAAAGGAGGGTCACTCTATCCCTAAAGGAAGGCCCTGCTATTGTGAATCACACTCTGTCATTGGGCCTGTTGTACCCAGTATGTCAGGTCTTGGCAGTGGGCACAGTTGCAGGATTTCTTCTGAGATACTGGTATCCACAGTGCTCATCTGTGTTTTGCATAACACTTCAGGACCAGTTCCAACTAGTAAAACTTTTTAAAATGATGGGTGTACTTAGTATGTTCAGTTTGGTAGCCACTAGCTGTGCCTGGGCAGTTACATACTTGAATAGTGATGCTGAGGGAATAGATGTCTAATTTTTAGGGGCAGGGACTTTGGTTTTATTGTTTTTCTCTATGTAGCCCTGGCTGTCCTAGAGCTTGCTATGTAGACTAGGCTGCCTTTGAACCCACAGAGATCTTACAGCTTCTGCTTTCCAAGTTCTGGTATTGAAGATGTGTGCTACCACCACAGCCAGCAAAGTTTCTAAATTTCAATACAGATAGTTAAGTGTTTTCAATAGTTAAATGTTCCTGGGTGTAAATAACTACCATCCACTAGACATGTCTATAAGAGGCGTGAAACCCAAGAAAAACAACTTTGAATCGCCTGAGGCTGCAGCAAAAGTAAAATGAGGGAAACAATTGTATGATGCCTAAAACCCTCTGGACATCCAAGAGGGCAGTCAGCCTGCAGAGTACACAGGACATCCGGAAGCTGATCAACTGATGGCCCTGATGTCCAAAATATAAAAATGTGGGGTCAAGAGCTCTTTTGAACCTCTATAGGCTCCTGCATGAACATGTGCACATACACTCACATACATGTAAATAGTAAATACAAAGATATAAGGACACAGTACAAGGAAACAAATAGTAAAGAAAATGGTGAGGACAACATGCTAAGGTAGGCTATAATTAAAACTTTACCTGGCAAGAGAACAAAGCCAGCATTCCCCTCGGGTATGGATATGGCCTTCCTTCCAGAAGGCTGCATTCTCTCGGTGACAGTTCTGCTGTGGTACTTGAGCTTTGGATAAAGTCAAATCTAGGGCTTCAGTACCAGTCCTTGGCTTTCTCTGCTCTTGGAGTAGGCCCTAACACAGTCCTCAAGAGGATGCATGTTAATGTGCTTTTCTCTGGGTTATGTTTGTCTGCTTGCCACTGTCCTACTTGGGACAAGTGCTACTGCACCTTGTCTGAACTCAGGGTAGATGGTCCAATAACCCTCCCTTTTTTAAGAGATTTATTATTCATAGTGTTCTGCCAGTGTGTATGTTAACATACCAGAAGAGGGCACCAGATCTCACTGTAGATGGTTGTGAGCCACAAACCACCCTGTGGTTGTTGGGAATTGAACTCAAAACCTCTTGAGGAGCAGCCAGTGCTCTTAACCCTTGAGCCATCTGTCCATCTAGCTCCAAGGGGCCCCCTTTTGTTTCTCCTCTGCCCCTAAATAGGAGTGCTTCCCAGCATAGGCAGGCGTATCATGCCCTTGTCCTGCATACTGTACCATCTGACACTGTTGCCATCCTGGTTACCATCAGAAGGACTTGGAAGTTTTTGAAACAGCAAGTGTCTGGCCTTCCTGGAGCACCTTTCCCCAGTCCTGGGAGCCTCTCCTAAGAAATCATGTTGAATCTTGCCAGGAGAGCCTAGTGGATCTAGTTTTCATACTGGACCTTAGTTCAGTCTTTTGGTTCAAGTTCTTAGTGTTGCTTTAGTTTGGCAGGCTTTACACAGCTGCCTTTCTCTTTGAAAGGTTCCTTCCTGTGTGTGTGTCAGCAGAGTCTCAGGTACCTCTTGTTTGTGATTGAGACTCTACTGATGGAATGTACCCTTCCTGCCTCTCCCAGTAAGCCAGGTATCGTAGTGGCGGTTCAGTCAAAGCTTTGGAGCAATTTCTCTGATAACCCTGACCTATAAAACAATCTTTTGCCATTCTGGCCATTGCTGATGCTGTTTATCCCTGGGCACAGTGTGTCTCTGTACATAACAACAACATTGGTAGGGATGGTTTGGGTGCCCTTTTTAGGTTTTGATTCTCCAAGGGGCAACCTGAGTGTGTATAATTTTGTATATAAGTGTGTTTTGGTGAATGTCGTAAGCAAGAATGTTTTTCATTCTAGGGCTTTCTACAAATTGAATGTTACTTTATAATAGAGAAATATGTTGCTATTAAATATTATTTAAGTCTGGCAAGATGACTCAGCAGGTAAAGGTGCTTACTTCTAGGCCTAACAACCTGAGTTTGATTCCAGGAAGCCACATGGTAGAAGGAAAGAATCAAATCCCACAAGTATGTCCATGTACATACACGCTAAAATAAATTTAAAATTTCACAAAATAAAATCCAGCTGGCACCTCTTCCCCTAAAACAGTAAGGTATCTACACTCGGATCAGCTTCTGTGGGGTTTTCCAGGGTGATGTTCAGGGTGGTGAGAAGCAGTCATCTGCTGACTCTGAGCTGTTTCTGTGACAGGTGGCGATGAAGAAGAAGAGAATGATGAGCCACCCAAGGTGGTTGTGACTGAAGTGAAGGAGGACGATGCTTTCTATTCCAAAAAGTGAGTGGGGCTGTGGGGCTGTGGGAGCTGCAGGGGAAGGGTGTCCCACAGACCTGGCTCCAGCCAACTGAATTGCAACAGGGAAGGATGTTTGGTCTATTTGGTTATTTTTTTAGTTTTTTCGAGACAAGAGTTTTCTCTGTTGTGAAATTTATTTTGTAGACCAGGCTGGCCTCTGCCTCCCTAGTGCTGGCATTAAAGGCATGTGCCACCACCACCCAGCTTGGCCGGTTTATTTTTAAAGCACACCAATTCTAAAGATGTGCTGGACACATCCTAGGTCCTCTGTGAAACAAACTGTTTCTCTCTGTGTGAAGTGCTTTAGAAACAGACTTCATGGCCTTCCTTATCTCTTCTCTCTCTCCCTCTAATGTAAAGTCAAGCCTTCTGTAAGCATGGAGATGTCTGTGGTCCCTAGGATGGGGTGGGCCTTTCTGTGACTGGGCAACCCCAGAGGAAAAGTTAGGCACAGCTGTTCCTTTCTGTTAAGGATGTATGAATCTTCTGCTGGTGGGAGCTGCCTCTTTGAGAACAAGGCTGGATGGGAAATTTAAATTCTGTTGTTAGGAATTAAGAACAAGGCTGGATGGGAAATTTAAATTCTGTTGTTAGGAATTAATTGTACTGAAATAGTTACTGGGAAACATTTGTTCTGTCTAAGCTTCCAGTAGTGTTTTTATAACAGACATTAGAGTCTTTCCTATGTTGCAGATGTCATGGGCCATGGAGTTCTTGTTTTATTTCATGAACTTTTTAGGCAGTAACCATTTTAATTTTAATAATACAAATGACACATAGAGATTAACCATGACTTTCCAGTTTTGTTTGTTGTGGGGGGGCAGCTTCTTTGTCAAAGCAAGTCAAGTGAGCAAACTTTTGTTTTTCAAGACAGGGTTCTCTGTGTAGCCCTGGCTATCATGGAACTCACTTTGTAGACCAAACTGGCCTTGAACTCATATAGAGATCCACCTGCCTCTTCTTCCTGAGTGCTGGGATTAAAGGCATGCACCACTACAGCCCGGCTTAATTTTGTCTTTTTTTGTTGTTTGTGTTTGAGTTGGGGTTTAATTGTGCAGCCCTGGCTAACCTTGAACTCAAGACCCACCCGCCCGCCAGAGTGCTAGCTATGTTTTCTTAATAACCTAAGAGGCTTCATTTAACGCATAGGTTTGGAAAAGAGTGCCCTACTTAGTCACTCCCTATTCCTGATTTATCTCAATATCTTAGGGGATCAAAAATGGAAGGCCTAAAGGGAATTTAATTGAAAAAAATAAAAAGGGGGAAAGCCCGGTGAGGGGAGATGCAAGACTGCCGTATCTGCCTGTCCTTAAAGGGCCAGTCTGCTCTCCTACTGTGGACCAGGACACCTGAGAGAGGGCAGTGAGAAGTTGGTCATTTGAGAGGAAAGATGGTCTCAGGTGTTATTAAAGGGTTTGTAGGGGGACTATGTTTGTCCCTCACTAGCAAAATTTGCCTGCATGCCAACAATCCTTAATTCCATGTCCAGCACTGCAAAGAAAGGTGTGTGTGTGTGGGGTGGTAGATTCTAGAATATCTAACTAGATTATCTTACTCTGATTTTTTAACCCAGCTAGATACCTTTATCGGGTAAAGGTTTATTCTTCTCTTACCCACCTACTGCAGTTGACTCACAGAAGGTAAACAGTGGTTGTCAGCAAACTGGCTTGTTGATGTCTGATCATGTCTGCTGTTTTTTTCCAACAGGTGTAAACTATTTTACAAGAAAGACAATGAATTTAAAGAGAAGGGCGTGGGGACCCTGCATTTAAAACCTACAGCCAATCAGAAGACTCAGCTCTTGGTGCGGGCAGACACCAACCTAGGTGGGTGCAGAGCCATCATGGTTTGTGCAGAGAGCTTTGTCTTGACCCTACAGTTCATTGGATTTTGAAACTCAGTAATAGGGGTTTGTTTTGTCTTATCATGAGGTCAACTTTATATTCTGGTTACTAATATGGACATGATTTGAGAAGCAAGAACATTGTGTAGTACACAGTGTAGGTGTATTGTTAAAAGCTATAGTGGAAAAGTACCACAAAGGGTTCTTTTGTATGTTGGAATGTGGCAGAATAGTGGCATACATGTGGGATGGTTTGATGAGCACTAAGGAGAAGTACACGGGTGTCAGTTTAAGGGGGTCTTTGTGGGAGGAGAGTTGGTACATGGAGGCCCAAGGTTATTAGGTCTCATTTCTTGGCTGGTCTCTACCTTTATTTTTGGGACATCATCTCACTAAACCTGAAGCTATTGATTAGCTCAGCTATCTGGCCACTGAGTCAGGAATCCATCCACCTGTTTCTGCCATAGCTGTCATTCCTACACCCAACCCCACCCCTTCTTTAACCAGGGGGTTACAGGAATGTGCCGCCCTCCCTAGTTTTTTACATGGGTTCTGAAGATTTGAACTCAGATCCTTGTGTCACATGCTTAACAATGGGACCATCTCCAGCCCTAGAGAATGCTATTGTCCTCTCTGCTCCACTCAGCCAACCCTTGCAACAGTCTATTAAATAAATAGCTCTGGCAGCAGTGGGCCTGTGATGTGTGCTCAGTAGTGGGAGACTACCAGGGTTCCCTGGAAGACTCCCAGGGTTCTCTTTCCTATGACTTGACTCTCACAGTGTCACTATAATGTCACTCTGCCTGTGAGCAGAACTTTGCTGACCCCTTATCCTTAAGTCCCATAATGGTAAAGGTCAGGGTAAGCCAGTGACTCTGAACAACGGTCCTGCCTTAGAGACTTTGGGGTGTGTCCAGCCAACCCCCGGCTCCCCTCCAGCCTAGTGAAAGCCTTTCTGGCTATGACTTTTAACTCATTGAGAGTTGCTTCAGTGTCAAATCTTTAGCCTCTTAAAGAATCCTATAGTTTTGGTATTTTATATATTTCTTTATGTGTTGTTTTCTTAAATATTTTCCTTTGTTTACTCAAAGGCAATATACTGCTGAATGTTCTGATTCCACCCAATATGCCGTGCACCCGAACAGGGAAAAACAATGTCCTCATTGTCTGTGTCCCCAACCCCCCACTGGATGAAAAGCAGCCCACAGCCCCGGTCACCATGCTGATTCGAGTGAAGACGGGCGAGGATGCAGATGAGTTACACAAGATTTTACTGCAGAAAAAGGATGCCTGAGCACTGAGGCCGACCAAGGAATGTTGTCACATCGCTGCTTCCCCTCTGCCCCCTAAACTTAGTCACATTCTTTCCTCTTCTTACTGTGACATTCTGAGAACTTCTAGGTAACGGGAACTTCTATGAGGAAGATTAAGGCCAATAAAACCTCTGGGTATGTCAGCTCTTCTCTTTCCTGAGGACTAAAAAAAAATTCATTGAGGTGAAAATTTGGGAAGATTTTTTTTAAAATATTGATTCATTGAGTAAACTAACCTAAGTGATTCTTAATGGACTGTGATCAGGGTACCATTTAGCTCTCCAAGGCTCCTTCAGGCAGTGTGGGCCCCACCTTCCTGCCTGCCTCAGGAGACCCCATGGCAGTGTCCCACAGAACCCCAGAAGATAACCGTTGGCTTCCCTCCTGTGGGCTTGTGTGACCTGTGACTAGCACTCCTGCCAAACACCATGCCACCACACTGACTGTGCTGAACTTTGGGTGTTGGGTGTCTCTGTCATCAGCCTGTTGGCAGGTGCTGGCCTTCGACCTGGGGCTGCTTGACTGATCCAGGAACTACCTTTTCATGAAAAGGACATGAGTGGTTTGTGGGGGAGCTGGTGGTGTAGACTGGGTTTGTCGTTTTTATTCAGGAGGTGCTCTTTACCCCCTAAATTAATGTGGAAGGGGCTGTCAGGAAGAATGGACTTTAGAAGCACAAATTTGGTAGCTTTTTTTTATATCATTTCTATACCACAAACAAGCCTTTATTTTAAGATAAAAGTAAAGCCGTGCTGAAAAGGGATGTGTGCTCATGGCCATCACTGCCCTGGTGAGCCCCACAGGCAAGCCTGAATGGAGTCCCCAGGGACCATGCATTCATGAGAAGCAAGAGTGTAGGAGTGGGAAACCTATTTGGTCTGTAGCTTCAGACAGCAGCATGTTACTTGGCATCTGGAAAACTTGTTTTGTTTTTATTTTAAGGATGAGGTATTGAGTGTGTTCATTTGGAAGAGTGCCATGGTTCTGCACGGGCCATTTGTGTAACTTCAGAGTGGTGAGGTCACTAACACTAGCATTTTCTGAAGACCAGGCATCAATTAAATGCAAAATCTGATGCCTAGCTGGTCATGGCTCATAGCTGTAATGCCAGTGCTAGAGAAGCTGATGCAAGAAGACTGTGAGTTCACAGCAGCCTGAGCTATAGTAATCCCCAACCCCCACCAAAAAAAAAAAAAAAGGATAATGACTAAAGTTCCACTTTCAGTTCCATTCAAACCATTCACCAGGACCAGATAGTGTCTGAAGGCTCAGGGTCAGTGCCCAGAGGTGCACACTTGTGTGCTCAGTCAATACACAGTCACGAAACCTGATGTCACAGTTCTTTAAAACTACAATGCCGGGATGGGAGTGAAACCTAGTTCACTTTATTTATGTATCCATGGCTAGCTGTGAACTCAGAGACCCACCTGCCTGTGCCTCCTGAGCCCTGAGCTAGTTAGCTTTTGCTGAGGTGGGATAGTAGTGTTATCACTGTGTTAAATGGCTCTGTGCTTAGCATTTTGACATGTATCCATGAGTGTTGTGCTTTGTGGGGTGTGGACCTGGGCGGGGTGCTGTGCATTTGCCATTTAGCATTGAGAATTGGTTTCTAGCAAGTGAGTTGCTGCTTCTGTCACCGCTGACCCTACCTTGTTCACGTTAGGTTTTCCCAGCTTTCCAAAGATGAAATAAGGGGATCACATTTCAGAACAGTATGGTGCAGCCACATGCCCATGGGACAGACTAGTGTCAGACTCTTGGGTACTTTCAGGAACTTATCTATTAATGGTGGTGGGGCTCTGTGAGCATCTGCCCATGCCTTGAATATTTACCAAAAGTGTAAAAGCAAAAAAGGTCGTGACTGGATTGCCTTCCCAGCCCATTTTAATTGTAAAGTAGTGGGTGTAGCTTTCCTAACATTCCCAGCAAAGTTTGCTGCTAAGACTATCACTTTGGAAGGAGAGAGGGGATGTGACCGGAACTCAGTGTGTCTTTATGCTTTAGGAGCTAGCTCGGCACTCTGCACTTAACCTGAGTGTGAGTCACTAGAAAGTCTGTCACAGGGAGGCCCCTGGAGGGCTCTGTTCTCCCTTAACTGTGTTAGTTAGTACCTGGTTCCAACCCATGGCTTAAACTTCATTTATGTTTTAACATGTTAGAAATTTGCCTATTGTGTGTTTAATATAAACTGAGGTTTTTCTCTGGTTTGAAAATCTAAGTATTTTATTTGCCTGAGGAAGTGTGTGTTCTCTGTTGTCAGGGTGTGTCTAGGCAAACTCTTAAGCCTGGGCCTTCCCACATTGTATCTCATGATTTCGCACATTCCCAATCAGCAGTTTTTAGGCCTGCACTGTTTTCCTTGGAGAGCCACACCATACCAGCTGCGGCTGTTAGTGACAGGTCCAACTGCTGATGGGCTGATTTCTTTTACACTTTCAGTTCTAAATCCTATTTTTTACATGCTGCGTGCCAAAAAATAATACCTGCTGTGGTGTAGAGGGAAAAGTCCACCTTGTTGTCAGGGTTTCCCCTGACAGCCTCCTCTACCTTTTCTTGAAGGTTAAGGAGTCTATTCTTGCCAGCTTGTTCATTATGTTATTACTATTTCTGAAGATGAGGAACAGCCCCCTTGAGGCTGCAGACTACCCACTAACACCAACCAAGTCTCATTCTAGAAGTGAGATTTTAAGGAAATGACCTGTTCTGTTACCCATAGGTGAAGTTGGGAGCTCTTCAGGGCACCTTCTAGCCCCATGCTCTGCACAAGGCCACCACGTGCTCTTCAGAAGTGATCACAAGACTGAGGACTGTCCTTTAACACAGACAGAGTTGTAAGGGGATGTAAGACTTCTTAACACATGAAATAACCTGTTCTTTTCCTTAAACAGGAAATTGTTTTCTAACGCTAAAATACTTGAATTGTCAGACAGTATAATCTCAGTGTGTGTGAGCTTTTGAATGAGCCTGTGAGGAAGTGTAACAATCCATGAAATGTGAATAAATGGAAAGTTAAAAACCGGCATTTGACAGTTTTGTTTCTGTGATAGTCTTGGCAGGTCAGTGGAAAAAGCAACGCTGGCAGTAATGTGCAGAAACATCTTGGAAGTAGGGGTTGACCAGGGGAGGCTGATGCTGACCAGCAGCCTGCATTGTAGGGTGCACAGTTTTGTGCTGGGCAGTCTCCAGCCTCAGACTAGAGCTGGGGGAGGCTAGCTTTCTTATGCAGAAGTAACATCCTTTCAGTGATGTGTTGGAGCTGTGGTCAGATTCTGAAGTTTCCTAAGGAACACAGCATTATCTAAAGTATAGGGTGTTTCTTGGTTGGGGGGTGGGGAGTAACAGAATGCTGTCCCCAGGGTTCCAAACTGAGATTAAGTGACAGGTGTTTCCTGAAGAGCAAGATTATGCCTGAGCCATTGGGGAGACTGGCTGATTTGGTGTGGGCTCCCAGTGCCAGTGGTTTCCATGGACTTTTTAGAACCGCTTTTGGGGTCCCCATCTTAAGCTCATTGTATCAGAATGTCAGTTTAGGACCTAGTCTTTGATTTGGTTAGTGGGTTTTGTACAATCACACAACTACTACCAGCCTCTGGATGTGAACAGATGACCTGGTGCACAGCTGTGCTTGCCCACCACTGGCTGGCAAGCTCCCCCACTGGAGTTCCAGCTACAGCCATGAAAGGAATAACCCTAGGAGGAAATGGCAGTGACCACCAGCATTCCCAGGCACTGTACTAACCTCTGTACATGCCCTTGTCTTCATTGTCAGTGAATCTGAGGGATGGGTTTACCTTCCCTTTGAAAAGCCCCAGAGCCTGGATGTTAGGACAAGCTGGGGTGACATGGCTTGCTGAGGGACCAGATCTACATGGCCCTATCCAGTGTGTCCACTGAATCACTCAACTTCAGTGGTTTCTGGACTTGGCTTAAATCTTTTGAGTAAAACTGTGATTCACAGTATAATCAAAGTTCACCAGAAACAATGGTTATTTCAAACTGAGCAAACTAATTGCTTTATTAAAGTCAGATTCCAAAATGAAAGAGCTATCCACATAGAGAAAAGTGATAGCCCATTGACTTACATGAGGCAGTAGGAGGCAAGTGAGTGACACTAGGAATAGGACCCTTTTTCTTATCACCCATCCCCCAAGCAAGCTTTCCCTTCCTGAAGATTCCCACTTTCTGTCACTTTTAACAAGCACAGAGTCCGATGTCTCCAGGTGACATGGGTATATACAATGAGCTACAAGGACTGCATTATTTTACATAATGCTCTCTTCTCCATTCATTCTGGAAGGTTTTCCTTTTCAGGGAACATTTTCTTCCAAGCTAGGCCTGACAGCTGCTCCTAAAAGGTATGGGTCAGAATAAAAGACCTGAGACAGCAGAAATGCCTTCCCACAGCATCTGGGAAGCTGGAATGCCTGCACTGGAGCCAGCATCCAGGACACAGACTCCAGCCTACCCAGGGGTCAATGTGGATAGCAAGGAGTCATGACTTAGCTGCTAACTGCTAAGCAGACACCTTCCTACCACCTTGCGATTGGAAGTACCAGTTTGGAAAACAACTGGTGTTTGTTTCTAGGGTAGTAGCTGACTTCTTACGAATCCTTTCAGACCTCCGTCTTCTGCTCCTCCACTGCAGTTCCTAACTCCAAATGTTTATAGTCTATTAGGCCCAATTTCTTGTGACATAATGTCATTTTGCATGAAAGGTATTTTCAACCTGCAATGATTGCAGGTGCCTGCTCAGCAGCCTACAGTCACAGGTGACTAGGCAACTGACAGTAAGATGCATGCTGGGATCTTTCCTAAACTCCCACTTAGGTTCCCAACTTCTATTCCAGCCATCTTCCCACTGCTGTAAGGATTTTTAAAGGGTTCTCTTGGTTGATTTCAGTCCAAACACTGCCAGGGTGGATTTTCATGGGAGCACAGAACAGCCCAAAGGCATCAAGTGATCAGCTTTGGAAATGCCTACACCTCTGGCCAGGATGGTCATTGTCCCTCTCACAGGGTCTTCACAGACCAGCAGCCATCAGGACAGCCAGTGAATGATCTACCCCAGCAGGAACCATTTCAGAACAGTATCTTGGAAAAGCTTGCAGCAAAGTCAGGGTCATTCCCTTGACCTGTTGTAGTGTCTGTATTAACCTGAAATGTGTATTATTAAAAGAAACAGGTACAGGTTGGGGGTGCCTCTAAGAAATTTTATAAATGTCTTAAAATGAAAAGCAACATCTCAACCATGAAATCATAAAGCAAAGTGAACAGCCACCACAAAGGCTTTCTATTGGATGAGGGTGTTCCATGGGAAAGCCACTCACAATCTATACACTAACATGGTCAATGTACTCATGTCTTCGTTGAAATGTTTTTGTAGAAATCACAAGTTTTCAAGTAACAACAAAAAACCAACATTTTCTTGTAGGCATAATTACTCATACAATAATTATGGAAGAGGGAAGATTGTGATTTGCATCTATGTTTGCTGATCTACAAAGTAAGGGGCTGAAGTCAAAAGAAGCTTGGACAGAGGGGTGCAATCCAGCTGATGAGAGAGCAGAGCTTGCCCAGTGGCACAAAACCCTGGTTTCCACCCCCAACACAGCATAAAACCAGGCACAGTGGTATACGCCTGTAATCCCAGCACATGGAGGTGGAGGCAGAAGGTTCATTAGTCAGCTCAGGGTCATCCTCTGCTATACAAAGTCTGGAGCCAGCCTGGGCTCCATAGACCCTGTCACAAAAACACAAAAAAAACTACTGACAGCTCATGGTCTGACCGTCTTGGAAATAGAAACCTGTAAACACAAACTGTCAGCAGACCATGGCTTCCTCCACTTAGGGGATCTATACAGTACAGAACTCGGATCTCACCCCAGCTATGAGCTGTCAAGTCAATTAGCTTGGTGTGATGTTGCAAGCAGTGGCTAGTGGAGTCCTGGAGGTTCATACCAGTATTGAATCAGTGAAGGCCTTTCGGGTACTGCTACTCCTCATCTAGACAGGCAGGGAGGCACTCTGGCTACTCCAGGGAAGGGCCATTCTGATGCCCCAAAAGGCTACTTCTCTTAAGATCTTTACACTTGGTCTCCAAGTCCACCAAATGGTGCACACATGTCAGGGCCAGCGACGTCTGTGAAGCATCCCATGTCTTAGAGCCCTTAGTCCTTTGGGGTGTTATATTTACTTTTTAGGGTGGCTATGTCCAGACAGTCCTATGTAAAGATGTAGAGGTGAGAATGAGTATGAACAGAGAAGACATGTGCTATCAAGATTCTTGGATTTTTAAAGCTGGAAAGGACAGCCAACTGAAGACAGGACCTAAATCATCAAAACTCAATACGTCCAGAGTTTTGGCAAAAAACTTAAAACCACTTATGACAGTCCAAAGAAACTTTTTATAGTTTATATTAGACTAGACCAACAACACAGGGGCTGGGATGTCTTAATAAAAACATTTTTTGTTTTTTGTTTTGTTTGGAATAGGGTCTCACTATGTAGCTCCAGCTGTCCTGAACTCCCCTATGTAGACCAGGCTGGCCTCCCAAGTGCTGGGATTAAAGGCATGCACCACCACTCCCAGCTTATTTCTTTTTTGCCTGTGTTTTAAACAATAATCTTTTGGAGTGGAAGTGAGTCTGGGTTGCTTTCATGTAGACAGCTCCAGGATTCCAGCAAGATCCCAGGAGATAAAGTGGTCAGTGCCTGAAGAAACAGGGATGCCTCCTGGAAGGAGCACAAAGCAAACTGTGCTTTCTTCTTGATGTCCCAAAGACTGACACCAAGGTTTCCTCAAAACAACTCACTCCAGTTCTACTTGCTATGTGTCACTGCGTTGTATGAGGATAGGCATGTTCCCAGATAAATTAAAGATAGCCTCAGAAGGCAAAGTGTCAACCCCAGGATTCTGGGTGCTGCTCTGTCACTTGTTGCTCTCAGACTTTGAGACAGGGTCTTGCTATGTAGCCTAGGCTGGACAGGAACTCTGCCCTGCCTCAGCCTCAATACTGAGATTTGCAGACATGTGCCACCATGCCTGGCCCTCAGATGTCAGCTATTGGAAAAAGTAAACATCAGAATTCTATCCCAGTTCTCAAGAGCTTCTGAACATGTCTGGAACTCAAAGGTGCCCTTTGGGGAAAGCAGAAGGCTGACCAAATGTCTGGCTAAACCATAGCCTGGAGCCCAGAACAAGCTCACCTCCTTTCCACTGTTCCTCATGGTTCATTTCTGACTTCACTCAGCCTCTCTGGGATGCTTTCCTCCTCTACATAGGGGACGATGGCACATAAGCACTGGAAATAGGCCTGCGAATATCAGATATTTCCATATGCCACATAGAGCCAAGTTGTGTGACACAGTCTCTACCTTCTACAGCCTGAGAAACACTTGTATCCAGTTAGCCCAGCTTAGAGGAGCCAGCCTTGCCTAAGAGAGCATTGCTGAGCTCTGGGGGGACAATCCCCAGAAAAGAGAAGCCATGGAATTGCTAAGGGTCTAGGACTGCCTCAATCTTCCACAGAAGACACACCTGGCTGTATTTTCCTCAAGATATCAAGTCCAGAGTGTTCAGACCCCAGAATGGCTAGTGTCCTAAAGTGGCAGGATACTATGACCTCCCTGGAAACAAACGGGGACAGCATTCACACCTCTGCAGGAGGAATGGCTATCCTGCTGCAGGGCCATAGCCACAGGCCTGAGGTACTCTGGCATTCTGGGGAAGGATGTGAATTTGCTTCAGTGGTTAGATTAGAATATAGACCCAGGCTCCAGCAGAACTTCAGTGTCTAAACTTACCAACTGCTCATCTCTTTGGAAGGAGTTATTTCATAACAGGCAGGAGAGGCAAGCTTCCTGGCCACCTTAACACCCACTCCTAAGACCCAGCCTGAGCTATGCAGAATGACAGGTGGTCAAGTCCTGACCCAGTCATGCACATTAACCCTGGAGACTTCAGTGAGGTAGGTGGTATCAGCCCCATTTTACAGGTGGGCAAACTGAGGCAGAATGAAATGCAATAGCTCGCTTTTAATAACAACATACAAAAGCTAGAGAAAGCCCCAAAGTAGTCCCCACTCCCAGAAACCAAGGAATGGAGCCATGCTCCTGCTTCTATTCTACAGCCCAGAGGAGCCGAGCTCTGCATACATAGCTGAGTTCTCTGGAATCTGGGACACTAAACCCAGCAGCAACAAGAGACCCAGTTTCCAGTTTATTCCAATTGGGTAGAGAAGGCCTCATCTACAGCACACTGCCAGGGTGAGCCTTGGGCTGGTGACCCATGGTCACCTTTACCCATCTGGGATTTCAACTCAGGACCCCTTCAGACATCCCTCAACAGAAGTTCCCTCCCACATTCCTTCAGAACTAAATTCTGCATCCCTCCAGCCGAGACCGACACAGGACGTCTCGGGTCGGAGGTGTGTGTGTTGGCGGTGTTCTTTGGATGGAAGCAAAGGCCATTCTGGGGGATCAGGGCCAGCTGGAGGTTGACACCCATTCTGAGCTGGGCATGGGGTGAGGTATTCCCAGCCGACAAACAGCTCATGTCCCCTGACTCCCAGCTGGAACCCACTGTGACAAGTAGTAACTATGGGAGAACAAGTTGGGACTGACTCTCGAGCTGAAGTTCGTCAGTACTGCATTACAAAATCTTCAACTGGCTTTGTGTAGGATGTGTGGACAGTAGCCTGGCACAGAGCTCCAGCAGGGAGATGGGAGTGGAGGTCTGGAGGTCTAAAAACATTCTGGAAGCTGGCAGCCCCTCATGCTCTCTATGACCTCTTGGTGTCTCTGGCCCTCTTTGGGAGCAGAAGGCTCTCCAGAGATGGGCTGAGGGGCGTGTGCAGGACAGGGTGGGAACAGAGCCAGCGAGGAAAGAAGACGAGGCACTTCAGTTTGGGCTGGTGTTCATGGAGTCGGCCCTGGCCCCAGGAGTCGAGTGGCCCTGCCTGGCTGTAGCTCCTGCGCTGGCTTGTCACAGAAGACCCCAGTGGCGGTGACAGGTAGGCACTTGGCAGCATTCCAGGGCCAGGCAGGGCCGGGGCTCCGTGCAGGCTCCACACACACTAAGTCATCAAGATGGGTTTCTGTCGTACTTCCAGGATGTCTAGGGTGACAGGAGGGAGCAGGCAGGGTAAGGGCACTCTTGGGAGGGAGCCACAGCTGCCATGCACACCCATTTCTGATCAGGCCTCACAGGCTACAGACACCATTATTACTCTTCCCTCCCACACATCAGCAATGGATAAGTGTAGATGACAGAGGTCAAGAGGAATAAGACTCCCATAGACACGTCTGAGGCAACACCCATCTGCAGCCACTCAAAGAGGGACCAGTGAGGACATCAGGGACACGTGGTGGGAAGCCACTGGCGTATGAGAACTATAGCCCACTGAAGCCTTCATAGAGAGGCTCTGAAGGGCTCTGCCTTCATGTACCTGTTAAGATCCGATGCAGTGGCAAGGTGACATAGGTCAAGTGTGCATAGAGAAGGAAGTTTCCATCAGCTCTGTTCAGCTTCAGCCAGGACCCAACCAGAGACCGTCCTGTGCCGGACAGGGATCGAGACCGCAGGTTGGTGGCATTGTGTAGGTCAGCTGTAGGGGAGAAGGGCAAATCAGCATCCCCGTGTGGGCCAGGGAGAGGGGGGACGGGCAACAGGACATCTGCCCCTAAGACTGATGTCACACTCACAAATGCTCCCCACCCATGTCCACAACCCCAAAGCCCTGCTTCCAGGCACTGCCCCCTCTGCCAGGGCCTACCTCTCCCTGGGCCTGGCCTAGAAAGCACCCAGGGTTCACCCTGGTGAAGCCTGCCTTCTTCCAGCCACTTGACATAATATGGAACTGGCATGGTATCAGCTCACGAGAGATGCTGAGGTATGTCAGACATTCCCTCAGAAACTCCCAACCCAGGTCTGAGGGCCATTCCTGTTCCCTGAACCCCACTTTCCACAGGACTGATGGAGCGCTCAGTTTACCCACCAAACCCCAGTGTTCCTGGTCCAAGACTGAGGACTCCTGTCCCACAGCTGCATAACTCACTGGCAGTGACTGACCACTGGGGAGGGGGTTATGTACACAGAGATGAGTGGTTGGGACCCCTGGGCAGACACCAAAAGGTCACTGCTGGGGCCACAGGGAAGGATCTGTGAGTCAGGGTGACTCACCAGAGACCAGGGGACAGAGGTAACAGAGAAATCCTAAGGTTTACCCAGGACAGAAGGTTCTAGAATGAGGAAAGCTGGCTCAGGAAACAGAAAAGGAAGACAGCCCTTGATGAGCACCCAGGTCAGCAGTAAGTTCCAGAGCCACTGAATGGGGGAGGGGAGTAGACACTGAAAACTGGGCTCGTGGAGGCAGAATTCCCCATCTACACACAGCTTCACCTCGGCCCTGGGGTCGGCACCCCACGGGACACAGCTTTCTAAGTGACACTGGTGAGGGAGTGGCAGCATGGGTGTCTGCATAGATGAGTGAATGCAAGGACGAATGGCCACATGGACAAATGACCACAGAGAAGTGAACGAAAGCCAGAGGAAGACAAAGGGTGAGGCCTGTCACCTCCACTGTCATCCTCTCGGAAGAACTCTTCACTGTCATTGGCCGAGTGTGACTTCTTCATCTCTGCGATGCGGTTCCGAGGCACCTTCCTCTTGAGGGATGGGGAGAAGAAGGCGGGCCGGTTGTTTCGCTCTGGGGTGGGCGGGGTGCTAAAGGAGGTCACCTGGGAACAAGGAGTCCAAGTCACAAGTGTAGCAGGAGCAGACCCTGCTATGAGGCCCCAAAGCCACTCAGATCAAAGCCAGCCTATAACTGCTGACCCTGACCCTGGCCTGAGTGCAATCTGTCCTAGATGAGGGGACACTGGACTCTGGGAGCTTGTCACACACAGTAGCAACCAGTCCTGCCTCAGGAGGGAGCAGGCTGCCACCAAAACTGCCAGAGGGGCCTCCCTTCCACATTTCAACACAAAGGATGCCAGGTGATGGGCTGCTGGGCGCGGTTTAAGCACTGCCATGTCATAGCGACCATGTCCCAACACAGCAGCTCATGATGCCTTTTGCATATAAGAGCAAATAAGGCACACAAATGGCCACCATGACCTGCCTAAAGCCACGAGGACTACACCTCAGGTCACCCCTTGGGGCCTTCCCTTTTGTGCCCAGCCCCTTTTACAAGTGCTCAGGCGGAACAGCTCTCTGCCCATATCTCCTCTCCTCCCTTCCAAGCACATTCAGTCCCAGCCACCAACATTCATCACACTTGGGGGTGAGGTTGACACAGACAGGGATAAGATATAGATCCCCTGCCCTCAAGGAGCTCACAGTCTGCTGGGGTGACAGACGCAAGTGACAAGCACAGACTGCATGCTGGTTGCTGAGACAGAGAAAGGGAAGCACAGGACATGGAAGGGACAGTGGAAGAAGGGACAGACAGCCTGTGAAATCAGAGTAGGCTTCCTGGAGGAGGTGCCGTGTGAGCTGGGTCTTGAAGGACGAGTAGTAGTTCGCCAGGTGAAGAAGGGGGGGAAGGGCGTTCCAGGCATAGGGAACTTGGCCCATCCCCTCCCTCCTCCCCATGCAAACAAGAATCGGAGCAGCAAGATGAGCTGGGACTGAGACTTCGGGGCTCGGAGCCCCATCGGCCTCCTCGTCATAGCTCCGACATCCACCAAAGTCCCGGCGGCTGCTGGGCTCCAGACGGTCCTCCCAAGTCAGGGAAGGTTTTAAAAGATAAAAAAACAAATACCAGAAACCACAATACACACAGTCTGCATTTCTTGTATATTGGTTACAAGTGACCCCTCAGGACAAGAAGACAAGCAACAGTGTGTACATGGGCAGTGGTGCTGAGCCCTATGTGACCTCATGACTCCACACCTCTGCTATGAAGAGCATGGCTAGGGGCCATCTCATTCCTCATGGCCATGCCCATTTGGTGGATGGGAGAAATGAGGTTTGGGTGGGTCTATTGACTCCTCCGTGGCACTCAGCAAACAGTACCCAGTGTTACCCAGTTGGGTGCACACACACCTTTCCTCATCCAAATGCAATATAGAACTGTCCCCTGGGAGCTCAGAATCCAAGCCACCTCCATACAAAACCTGAGAGGGCCTGTGCCTGAAGTGCTCGGCACTTTACAAAATGCCAGCATTTCTTTGTTTTGTTTGGCTTACAAAACACATGAATTATAGAAGATTTCAAAAGAAAGAGTTAATGCCCAGGAACTAACTCGAGCAGCAGCTGGCCAGGCACTGTCTGATCATCAGCTGCAGACAGTGACCACTATGGCTGTCGCTTAGGACACTTCACAGGGCCAAGCCGCATGCAAGCCATGAGCTGAGAGGTTGTGCCATGAGAAGCCCCGCACCTGGGGAAGCAGGCTCATACCTCACTTCTCAATGAAAAACAGTTTAGAGAAGGAAGGGACTCATCGAAGGTCACATGAGCAGCGGAGTCCAGAATGCAGCCCCAGGATCTCTTGGACAAGGTCTGAGTGACATCAAAAGGCAGAGCCTTTCTCACGCCTGAGCCTGGGGTCTAGTCTCTACATGGCCACTGACATCAGCTTCCCACTAAGGGCTGAGAGAGCTCGAAGGAAGCAAGGCTTGAGGCTGGGTGCTGAGTCCTCAGAGCTGTGGTAGGGGCAGCAGCCCAGACAGAATACTTCCCCCTGCCCAGGGATACTGCTAACAGACAGAATACCCTAAACAAATGACCAGTTCAGTTCTTCCTCATCCTATTGGCTCATTGCAGAAGGGCTTATGTGGCCACAGCTGCTGAGCAGGTCCAAGCAGCAGGCACAAGGCCCAGCTCCTAGTTCATGTCTTCTGTCCTGGTCCCAGGGGCAGAATAGCCCAGGGAATCAAGAGTAGCCTGGATATCAACCTGCTGGGTGACCTCAAGCAAGGAACCTTGCCTCTCAGAGCCTCAACTTCCTCATCAGCCATGGAGGTCAACTGGTGACATCTGGGGGCTATGGATCGAGGGAACCATGGGAAGTGAACACAAAGGACCACAGGAGGCCCCTCCCCCAGCTGTGCAGCACTTACCCGCTCATGCATGGGCGAAGCTGGACTAGAGTCTTCTTCGGTCCCACAGGGGGATGTGTCACCAGTAGACACGCGGCTGACTGCCATCTCAGCGTGGCCTTTGCCTTGAGGCCCCTTCATGCGCACAAACTCCATGTTGTTGTACTTGTAGAAGCCAAATGACATCTTCTGGGCCATTCGAGCTGCCACACTCACCTGTGGTAGTTGGGACACGGCCTCAGTAAGCTGGTGGGACTGGCTTCACAGGCCCTTTTCTCTTTCTCTGTCTCTCTTTCTCCACAGCAGCCAGCATTACCATCTCTGAGGCCATCTTGAGGAAGTCTGAACCACAGGGAAGCCAGATCCCTGGCCAAGGCTATTCTCACTGCCCTGAACATCCAAAATACTGGCCAGGGCCTTAACCCCAGATTTAATTCCACCTCAGGAGAGACAGCACCAGCTGCAGGAGAGTGGCCTGTTCATCTGAACTCCTTTCCTTGCTATACTAGTCAGGGGTTAGTTTTGGGATTGTCCCCAGTACTAGGGAGAGCCAGTGTGCCACTGGCTGGCACCTCACAGGGACATGAGAGGGAGGAAGGAGTCCCCACCTGCAGGTGGACACAGGTGGACTAGGATGTAAGAATGTAAGGGAGTGGCTGGAGGAGCATCAGGTGCCCTGATGCGGGGTGGTCTCAACAATGCAGGTGTGGAGGGGGGAGACAAAGGGCCAGGATGCACACCCCTAGGCAGCCTTGCACTCACGCGGTTGTCATACACCTTCTTGAGAGCCTCGTAGCGGATGGAGCCCTGAAAGATGACACCCTGGAATGTGTTGGTTTTGTCACTGGCCACCAGCTCAACACAGACCATCTCTCCTTCCCCTACAGTCATGTCACTGAACACCTGAGGGTGGGGAGGAAGAGGTGGTGATGTCAAATATCGGTGCCAGCACCTACACCATACCCTGACCTGGCTTCAGGGAAGGCTACTGAAATCACCAAGTACAGGGCAACCCGTAATCCCAGCACTAGAGAGGCTGAGGCAAGAGGATCAAGATTTTGAGATCAGCCTGGAGTAGATGGGGCAATGTGTCTCAAGACAGAGAAATGGGAGGAAGAAAGGAGGAGGAAGGGAACTGGGGAGGAGGATGGAAGGAAGAGAAAGAACAGAGAAAGGAGTTCCCACTTTACAGATAAGGATGCTCAGAAGACATCAAACTACTTGTCCTCAGCCACCCTCTGCCCACCATTCCACCCCAACTCACCACAAGCTGAGCTACTAGCAAGACCCTCATCTGACTTAAGGTTATGAGGACTAGGGAGACACTTGGGGACCTCCTTCATCACTGCCCAGTCCAGCCTAAGCTTGGCTGTCTAAGCTGGTGTGACTAATTGTGACTGCTTTCCTGGGATAACACCACCTGGACATTGGCAGTGTGACCACACCTTGCCACATTTCCAAGCTGCTGTTCCTAATATCTGACATCCAGATGTTAGCTTCAAGGAGACACTCAGGGCAAACACATGAGCAGTGTGAGCCCAGGGAGGCCACAACACCTTCTTGAGCCTCAGGTATTTTCAGACCCCATCAGAGCCCACAGGGGCCTGAAAGCCAGGCCCACCTTCATGGGACTTCCAACAACCACGGCTGTCTCTAGGCAAGCACGCACACACGCACGCACTTTTTCACTTTCTCCCTCTCCAACATCAGCCTTGGCAGATGAGCAGAACAGGGAGTGGAATGGCAGCCTCCCTTCTCCACTCCTCCTGTCATCGGTATCTGCAGCACATTTTGCCAATCTTGAAACAAAGGCTTGGCCATAGCTCCCTGGGCAGGGGGAGGCAGCCATTCACAGAGCAGCAAATGATGACTCCTGGTCAGGCAGCACTTACTCTAAGCATCTATGATGTACACTCCCACTCAGAAGTCCTCTGGTCATTAACCCTGACACCTTAGTAGGTCACAAGGTCATGATGCTCACTTTATAGATGAATGAGCAAGGCCTCGAGCAAGAAGTATGTACTTGTCTAGTCAATCACTGTGAAGAGGGGAGACCCACTGGCTGTCATCAGGGCCTTGCCCTGCTCTTGCTGCCCATGTCTTCTGGGAGGCTTTGCAGGTAGGTCCTCAGCCTGACACTACCCCCACCCAAGAGGAAAGGAAGGGGACTGTGGCCAGCGGTGAGCACTCACCTCCTCAAAGCTGTCAATCATGAAGAAGATGTTGGGGTAGCTCATCTTGGATTCTTCTCCTTTGCTGTCCATGGGGTGTTTGCTGGGGGATGCAAACACTTGCTAAAAAAGGAAGCAGAAGGGCTAAGAAGTCGGCCTGGATGGAAGAGACCTCAGAGATGGGCCAAAGGGCCATGCTGCTCAGAGCCAGGGATATTCTCTTCAGGGGCCATTGGTTGCATGCATACAACCAAGTCCCTGGAGGCATCCCTCATCTCAGGGGAGGGAAAGCAAGGAGTGGGGAGATGTCTTTCTAGAACAGGCAACATGCAGCTAGAGAGCCTGGATAGCTAGTGGGAGGTGGGGGCTCACCTGGGATTTCTTCTTATGAATGTGGATGTCGCCTCCATCAGTGCGTGTGCACACAGCACAGGTCACCATATAGTCCAGCTAGAAGAGAACGAAGTGTGTGTGTGGGGGGGGGGAGCTCACCATACCTCAGACCCACGGGCAGCCATCACCACCCACCCCATACCTTCTGAAGGATGAGGTTTAGGCAGACGCTCTCTTCCCAGTCAATGTCAGGGTCTCCCAGGCCTGGAAGCTTCTTGGAGTCCCTCCGGTACACTTCCACCTCCACCTCAGGCTCAGCCTCAGCCTGTGGCACAGGTCAGAGTGAGACTCCACGGCCCCAGCCTCCTGCTGCCTGACTGCTGTACCAGGCAGGTGGTAACATACAAAGACCCCCATCCCCAGTGCCCACCTCTTCTTCCTTTGCTGCCCCAGTTTTCCAATCGGCACAATAGAAAAAGTATTTCCCTCTCCACGTTGTGATAATGAAGACATCATATTTCCCAAGTTCCCAATGACAGTAACGTCTACTGGGCTCGCAGTGGGTAACAGATTCTAGTCTCCATGTTTTACAAATTATTACCCTTTTATCTGCAAGAAAGGAACCATTAATCCCACTATAGTTGATGAGGATCAAACAGGTTACAGATCACATAGCACACACTCATCAAAGACAGAGCAGAGTCCCATCTACCCCTACTCCACACAGGAGAGGCATAAGAAATCAAACCAGATTTGAAAGCAACCTGTCCCAATAGGGGTCCTGAGCCCAGGGTCCTAAGAAGACCCAGGAGGGCTCCTACATGGTCAGCTCCAAGAGGGCAACAACCACCTCCTGCTGGACAGCTCTGAGGCCACCTACAGGACCCCAGGCTGAGCTGGGATCCACACAAAGGTGCCTCAGCAATAAGATATGCCACAGGGGTGGGATCCCTACCTCCCATGGTCTGTGTGGCTATGGGAATCCCCCAGACTCCTAATTTGGAGCCAACACATCCATTGTCCTGCTTGGTTGCTCCATGCTTAGCATTCATTTTGTTTACTCTCCTGCAGGTGAGCCCACACTGGCAGGTGCTCAACTGTTGCTGGTTTAACAAAGCCTGGGGAACCAGTGTGGGGAAAACCTATGGCACAACTACACTCCTGTGGCAGGTCAGCAGGCTAGTGGAATGAGTAGCTCCCATGTGTCACTAAAATGCACAGCCACCCACAGAAGGGCAGGTGGGTAATGGGAACACCCAGCAACAATACCCAGCAACCAGACTGACAAATCACAGCTACCTGTGTCAATAGGCATGCTCCCAAGTAAATGACTAAGAAGCAGCCAGAGGACACATTGCAGCTCCACATGTTAGCTCAGGATGGGGACGAACCTCTTAAGTATCAGAAGTCCAGCTGAGCCCAGGGAAGGAGGGAGCTGCTGGTGGCCAAGGCCCCTTGCACATTCTAGTCATGCTAGATCTCTGGATCTTGAAGGCTGGTGGCCCCAGTACTCACACACACACACACACACACACACACACACACACACACACACACACACAAAGACCATCAACCTGGACACCCTTGCATGTACATTACAATCAAGAAAAACTATCAGCTGGATATAGCAGCACTCACCTTTAATTCTAGGACTCATGAGGCGGAAGCAGGCAGATCTCTGTGAGTTTGAGACCTGCCTGGTCTACAGAGTGAGTTCCAGGACAGACAAAGCTACATAGTGAGATCCTGACTCTTCCCCCACCCCCTCTCTCTCACACACACAAGAAAAAAGAAAAGCTACCAAAAGAGAAAATGTATGATTGGATGCTGTGGAACCACAGAAACACCCTCACTGCTCCTGAGTTCTGGTTTTCCAAGTAGGTTTGGGATAATCTCTACCCCAAGATTGCCGAGGATGTCAATAGGAAGCCACTGGCATAGATGAGGACACAAACAGATGCCAATGCTCATAAGTGCCAAAGACAAAGTGGGCTGCTGAGAACAGAGAGTGTTTTGTCCAGGGGCAGCATAACAAAACTGTGCAGAACATCTAGAACACAGTGGGTAAACCAGGTCCCGATCCCTAAGGTGATCCTGCAGCAGGGTGTGGGAACTCCAGCACCCCATGCCTACCCATGCTGCAGCTCTGGCTCTGCCTACCCACCCTCCTCAGTTATACAGGGAGCCTAGTTGGTTGCCATGACAACCAGTGCCAGCAGGATGAGAAAGGGTGGGAGGGTGTTGAAGTGCTTGCTGCAGAAGGCTCCTAGTGCGCAGGCGCCAGAGTACATATCCACAGCCCTGACTTCTGTTTCTTGGTAGGTTGGGGATCCCCAGTGTACCCACACCCTGCTCCTTACAGGTCACCCTGCAGACTGTCAGGCAGGTAAAGATGTCTAATCTGGGTGAACTTGAGCCTTACCTGACCTGGTCCTCCAAACCCTGTACCAGACACCACCAGTCAGCCCTCTGCAGAGGTGCAGGAGGCCAGCCAAGCACAAAGAGGATGTAGGGGGCATCCCCACTTCCCAACGCCCATCTGAGCAGCAAACTATGGTTACTCTTGGTCTCACCCCACTGGCATTTGATGACTTCCTTTCTCCCTGCACATATCACTCTGAGGTCAGGGTGCTCTGTTGGAACTATGGTATACACTAAGTTATACCACACCATGGGCCCCTTGCCTACTATGCGGGTACTATACCTGCCCTAAGATGCCTTCAGTCAACAGCATCCCTATAACCCTGTTCACAGATGTCAGCCCTTTTATAGCTCTCACTATATGGTATTGTGTCTGCCCACTGAGGACTTCCCAAAGACAGTGGCAACCTGAGCTGTTTCTGTGTTATCAGTGCTATTTCCATGTGGCTCAATGTTGCTCAGAACTCATGGTACTGAGCACTCAGTACTGGTACTGACATCAATACCACTAAATCTTCAAGAGTGTCTCAACACAATCCCAGGGACCCTCCTGCTGTAGACTTCTCCATCTTGGTCCCAGGGTGCTTCTCCCAGGAAACTCTTGCCTTACTTCTCTTCCACCCAAATGCCATCAATTAACCATCCCACTTTCCCCTCAGCCTGGATCCTCCACAGTACACATTGCTAAGTGTACTCTCCCTGCACCCCAATGACCTCTCCCAGAACCGCCGTGTAGGTTCCACCTGAAGCACAGGGTCTCACATGTGCCTGTCCTCAGAGACAGCAGGCTCGAGTGCACTGGCACTGGGTCACCAGCATGCAGGGGCTCCCTAGCACCTGGCCCTTCCTGCCAAGAGCATCTCTGTGGTCACATCAACCCCAAACACCATAGCCTCACATGTATCCAATGGGTGGCTCCGCCCTTCTTGACTATCTGTTCCAAGGCCCAGAGATGTCTGGGTCCTGGCCACAGCCGTAACACTGATCAAGGGGATAAAGCTGGGTTCCAATGGCAGTAGTGCGCAGGACTAAGGAGCCCAGGGCTGTCCCCACTGAGAAAGTCCCTGCCTCACAGGTGCCACTACCAACAGATGCCAGATGGATCCACAAGTTGGGTCTCAGCTTTAACTCTTTCACAGAACACCTTCTACTCCACCCCACCTGACACTCCTAGGCCCTAGTCCAGGCTGCTGCATCACCCATGTCTCTAGACTCTATACTCCCCTGGCTTGTTTAACTCTCTGGCCAGTCAGTGTTCATGGGCTTCTGCAGGCCTCTCCCACACCAGCCCGGCAAAAAGCCATCAAAGGCCTCGTTTGCAGCAAGCTCCCAGGGGTGTCCACTCACAACAGACTCATCCTGTAGATATGCAGGATGTGACAGGAAGGAGCTCCCCACACTTGAGTGTGTGAGCTGTAACTAAGAAACCACAATGCCCAAGTCACAGGGAGCATGGAAGCAGATAGGCCATTAGCCCCAGACCAGGGTCAAAGCCTGACCACTATTTATCCTTAAAGGCAAACAGATTATTCCCATGCCTAACATGTGGACTGCTTAAACATTCTATAAACCACTAAGAATTCTGAAAAGAGAAGGAAGCATGAAAAATGTGTCTCAAGAACTCCTGCACACTGCCACACTTAGAAGATGGAATGCCCTGGGTAAGTCACTTCTCTCTAAGCTCTGTTTCTTCATCTATTTGTCCAGTTGCTGGGAGTTCAGGAGATCTAGGACAGCCCTAAGTGATCCCCCTAGTTTATAGTAGGGGCTGAGTCACAGAAGGATGGCATTGTCACCATCACTACCATCTAGTTAGCACCCTGCCCATTCTGGGAAGCGCCTCAGACTTGGGGCTAAAAGCCCTGTACCTCCATTCACTCATTCACTGTAAGAGGCCGGCTAGCTGGACCTTGAGTCTCAGTTTCTTCAAAGATAAAATTACTGTCTTTTGGAGTAATGGCAAAAATAATTCAACCAACCCACAAGCAAGTCACTGGTAACCATCTCCTGGATCCCTCAGACTTGCTGGGTATTCAGTACAGTTTTCCCTTGGCAGGGAAAGGGGACCAAAGGATGTTCAGGACACAGGTTGGGGGTGGGACTTGGGGAGGGTTACCCACCTTCCTCCCATCGACACTGCTGTCACTGCCTGGGTAGGCTCGCTTCCTGCGCACGTAGAAAAGCATGTCGTCCTGCCTAGGGGCCAGTTTCTCCATGAAGTATGTGGAAAACATCCAGGTCCAGAAGACAATCCTGTCATCCTTGAAGCATCCTGCAGGAGGAGGCCGGAGGAGTGAGAAGGGGCCCTTCTGGCCCTGGTTCTGACAGTGGCCATGCCTGGTCCTCCCCACCTGCATTTCTAGTCAGAGATCTAACAAGATTGGGATGTTCTGCCCCTTCTCCCTTGGTGTCCCCCAACCCCCTCCCACTGGTATTAGAGAGGCTGGATGCCTCCCTGAGGTGATCTAGGGCTCCACCCAGCGGCAGCCTGACAGTCAGGGCTGCCAGGCCCTACTGCCCAGCTGACTCCAGGAAAAGGAAAAGGAAAATCTAGAAGCTGTGAGGCCGTCACTGGCAGGCTAGCTAGGCTGCAAGGAGAAAGGCTTTGGTGGGGGAAATCTTCACCACAGACATCCCTAGCCCTCCCCCGCAGGCTGCTAGGCTGTGGCGGTCCCAAGGAGAACCCAACTTAAAGGGACAGCCAGCACATCTCAGCTGCAGGCAGGAAGTCTCTGAGAGGGTGCCAGATTGAGTCCCATTAGATTCCTTCAGGTTTTTTTTTGCATGATAAATGCATTTCTGCATGATAAATGAAATGTGAAATCATTTCCTGTACAAGATAGAAGAAACCTGACCCCCAATTTTTGCTATAAAAAAAATTCTAGGTTTCCTCTTCAGCTCTGCCACTTTATTATGTGACAGAGGACAGGTGGACAGGTGGCTTAGCTGCTGAGCCACAGGCTCCTTTTGGTTACATGAGGATGAACAGCTCCTGGCTGGAACAGCCAGTGCTTGGCACAGAGCAGGTCAGTAAATGTGGGCTCCCTCTTTTTAGATAGATCAACAAATTATCACCCTGTGCTACTCAACTCATTAAATTCCTGAGTTTCTTTCTTTCCCCATTTCCTCTGAACCATGGAGACCTAGCCCTAGTGCCTTGCTTCTGGGAAGGTCTCCATGATACGACACCCTCCACCATCCTCAGATTCAGTCACGGGCCAGACCAAGGGCTGCAGCAAATTGAAGGTGCCAGCCACATCACAGAACCAGTCTTTCCCCTCCTCCCTCTGACAGCAGTGTGTGCCCAACACAGGGGCAGTGGGAGGGGTCAGAGTGAGCACACCTTGCCAGCCTCAGTGAAGTGGGGACAGGTTCACAGACACATGGTGGGAACATCCACCGGCATTGGAAATTCTTGCCTCCCTTTTGCACAAGACAGTGTCCAACTATGCACACACTGTGAGATGAGGCAGAAGCATCTCTGGCCTGACAAGCAGGGGCCTGTGACTCAGTTCAATCCATGTCACAGTCAGGCAGCTCACAAGTGTCAGCCACAGAGAAAGTATTGCCCTTCCTTCAAAGGGATCCTTTGCTTTTTAATAGTCAGCTGTGGGACGAGGGTGCAACTCTATGCCTAAGCACTTGATGAGAATGGGCTCATCAAGTCAGGGGTTGCATCCCTAGGACCACAAAAGTTTGCTTGGTAGTAGCTTCTAGGGCATCTAGGCAATTAACAATATCAACAAAACAATGATAATTACCTTAGATACACATTAGTAATGCAAAGAACTCTGAACTGTTAACAGTAAACCTTCATTGTCACTCAATTGTCCCCAACTCACTTCACAGAAGAGGCTAAAGTATGTGCCCAAGTTCCCAGAGCCGGAGACTGATCTGCCTCATGGCCACACTCAGGCCTTGGAAACCTGTGCTCAACAATTTCCTGAAAAGGAGCCAATCACAGATGCTGGCAGTCCCAGGGCATAAGGAGCAGAAGGAAAGGGCCAGGCAGGGGTCAGGAGGTCCACATAGTCCACATACTCCAACACTGGAGCTGGAGTAATGGCTCTTTCTCTGGGGTTTAGTTCCCAGAACCTAGGAATCAGCTAACAATCACCTGTAACTCCAGCTCCAGGGGACCCAACGCCCTCTTCTGGCTTCTTTGAGTACCTGCACTCATGTGCGAGTGCACGCGCATGTACACACACGCACACACACACACACACACACACACACACACACAAAATTGAAAATAATAAAACAAATCTTTAAACCTAACCCTCAGATTCAGGGATCTCTGGGCCTCTTTTTCTGTTTCCCTTCCCAATGTGGTCACATTGAATAAATGTCCTTTTTTCTACTTTTCATCATTACTCATCTTTTTCTTAACATTTATTTGTGTCATGGATGTGGGCACATGTACACCATGCTGTGGTGTATGTGTGGAAATTGCAGGATAACTTGTGGGAATCTGTTCTCTTCTTTCACCGTGTGAGCTCTGGGGTGGGGTGGGGGTGGGGACAAACTCATCAGGCCTACACTAAGCCATCTCACTGCCCTACTTGTCTGTTTAATTGGTAATCCTCCTATCCCAGCTTCTCAAGTGCTGGGATTAGACATGTCAGCCAGCATGCTTGGCCTAAGCCGCATTTTTATTTTATTCTTTGTGTATGGATGTTTTACCTGAATGTATGTCTGGGCACCACATGTGTGCCTGGTGTCTAGAGAAGCCAGAGAGAACTAGAGCTATGGCCAGCTGTGAGGCACCATGTTGAGTTCGGGGAGTTTGGGGCCTCTGCAAGGGCAGCCAGTGCTCTTAACCACTGAACCCTCTCTCCAGTGCCCTGAGTGGTATTTTGAAAGGAACTAATTTGCCTTCTTAAAAACACCAGATTCTTATAAAGCTGTCATAACTCAGTCCTGTATCCAACTAGACAATGAGAGGTGCATCCACAGAGAGGTTAGCACACACAATGTTCACAGGGATTTTTTTCCCAAGAGCCTCAGCGGAAACCAGGAAAGTAGACACAAGAAACACAGCTGAACTGGCCAACGGCTTACAGCTCCCCATAGCACCACAGAGGAATCAGAATTACCACATACACAAGCCAGGCTCACAAGACTAAATAGGGTGCTTAAACTCATGTGGTGTTTCAGAAAAAAAGGAAAAAGATTAAAGGCCTAAAAAGCAGATGAAGCTGGCTGTGACAACGTACACCTGCAACAAAGAACTGGAGTTCAAGGTCATCTGAGAGACCTCACCTCAAAAACAGACAGATAGAAAAGGTGGTTGTCTTAAAAATAAAGTAATGGGAATGGAGAGATGGCTCAGCAGTTAAGAGCACTGGCTGCTCTTGCAGAGGACCTGGATTCAGTTCCCAGCACCCACATGGCAGCTCACAACCACCTCTGTAACTCCGTTCTGGAGATCCAGCATCCTTTGTGGGAATCTGGCCTCCTTGGGCACTACACACATATGGGTACACTTATGTACTTGCAGGCAGAACACTCATGCTTGTAAAATACAACAAAGCAAAACAAGAAGAGTAACTAAAATAAACACTGTGTTCTGTGCTGCTAATGAGAGCAAACAATCTAACAACTTTCAGAAGGTGGGGAGGAGTCTGCAATTAATAGCATCTGCCAATAATTAGGCAAATCATGGCATGTGTGTTTGGCTGGAACCTCCAGCTCACTCCTGATTGATCCAGAAAGCCCCTATTCCACTCTCTAAACCCCACCCTCTCAGGGAATCTCCAACAACAGAAAGGCACCAAAAAGCCCAGTTATGCATTCCTGGTGGCTGTGGCAGCTCCTCCCCTGAAGTTGCCAGTAGCCCAAGACTGTAATGAGATATTCACCCCTACCCCTGCAGCGCTGACCACACCCATTTGGGCATGGTCACATGTGTGGACATGACTGGTTAAGAGGATTGAATTGGGACTTCAAAGCCACTTCAGGTTGAGGAAAGTATCAGGGTGGTAGGGTCTGCATCCTTGGGGCTGGAGTGACTTGATAGTCACTTGTTTCCTGTGTAAGTTATTTTCTCCTAATAAACTCCACTTCATCTTACAGGTCAAGCATCCTGATTTCCATGCCCAATAGAGACCCTGCCTAAAGCTGTCAGTTTTGACCATACTTGGTACAAACCCAGCTTATTGTGGACATGTCATCACTCCCTTGCCTACAGGGTAGATAAGCCCCCTGCTTTAGTTTGGGCTTGTGACTTTTCCTGCCTCCATCTTGGGACTGGAGAACTCACCCCGTGAGTTGCTTTGCTCAAATAAACCTGTTCTTTTGCTGTTTCAATTCAGGTTGACCTGGATAACTGCATCAGCAGAGAAACCTATTATCGAAAACCTATTAATGTGTACTAAACCAAGTGTCTGTTGACTATTTGATTAATTTACTTGAAGTTCTGAGAACCAAATCAAGGACCTCATCTGTGCTAAGCAAGTGCTCTATTCCTAATCCACACCCTCAGTCATACCGCCTTGTAAAGTCTGTGAAGAGCACATTCAGACACAGGAATATGGGTCTCGAAGTCCTGGGTAAAAAGGCAAAGCTCGTTGCAGTCACACTGACTGTGTCACAAACCAAAGGAAAACAGGAGGAACAGAGACAGAACAGTGGGAGCAGCTGCCTTTCCCAGGCGCCTGGCCAGCCTCCCCATCTGTCTTCTTTCTCCACAAACTATCTTTTGTTCTATGGCTTGGTGTTACAGGCCTAAACAGCATGCAGGGGGAAGGAGAGAGCCCTCTTCACAGGGAGGGAAAGACAGACAGAGATGTGTTCCATGCCCAGAAGCTGGGCAGGGCAAATCTGACATAGAATTTCTAACTTCTGGGGACACAGAATAATCCAGGCTTTGAATCCTACAACATGGATCCTGGTCCCAACTGGTCCCCACCTGGACTGCTCCAGTAACCTCCCACCTTCCCAGAACCATGGTGAGTTCTGGTGTAAAGGAGCCAGAGCAAAGTTCCTTGATAGGCTGTGATACTTCATCTACATGGAGTAAGTAAGAACTTAGATGTAGCTGCTCAGCATGCCTCTCTGGCCAGCCAGGATGATGTGAATAGATCACAGCCTCCCAGCATCCTTTGGTCCTGTGGTACAGTAATTGTGTGAGTGAACACATAAGAGGTAAATGAACTGTTGTTGGCCTGCTATTTCTCTTATAGGTAAGACCTTCCTTCTTTTCCCTCAGCCTGCCCAGTAAGAACTCCCCTGGGTCATAAGCCTGGGAGCTGCCAATCTAGCAAGACCTGT